CAGGACAGGCAGATAAAGCACCATTCATTACATTTGTTTACTCACCGACCGACTGTTTGCATTGTGCATCGAGTGCTCTCGCCACTAACGGACCCATCACAGTGAGCGCACCCGTCCATAATATAAAGCCACAGAAATTCTCCTTTATAACTCGATATGGCAAGTATTTTATAACATCCTTGTTTTGATAGACGTCATGTTAAGTGTTTCAGCACAAGAGCGAGTAGCCTAATAAAATATAGCCATATTTGTTGCGCTCAGCAGCTATTCAATAAAGCTCTTCATTTAAAGTTTCATTTATAAATTTAACCTCGTCATATAAAAACATCATATAGAACACATTTTGTGTTTGGACTTTCCCCCAATGCGTTTAAAGCAGCGAGCAGGACTGAGTGACAGAAAAAAGGTATCGGCTAGATTCTGCTTTCACTCACCCAAATAATGCTCTGTTTGCGTGATTTGATTAATATCATCGCATCCAAATACTTTATAAATAATATTTCAAACCTTCACCGGTGTTAATTGTTTTTATAAAATATTGAAAATCTTTTTTTTCAGATAGGTCGTTGTAAAATGAAAGTTATAGGCTATATGTGGCTTTAAAACGGTTTGATTTATGTATTGTATATAGGCTACCTACATATAGCTAGTATTTGTTTATTTTATATTGGTTTATTTATTTATTTAATGCGATTTTATATATATCCGATATTTGTAATTCTTTAAATTATATTTCAATATAGCTTAGGCTATTTTATCAAGATATGACACTATAGTGTTTAAAGTCTACGAAAGTGGGCATGTAATTTGTTAAGTTTTATGTCTTTCTGTTGTATTTATATTGTGTATTATCTCCAAAATAAATAAAGAAAAAAGCAGCTCGCGGGATAACAGAGCTGTGAAGGAGCACTCTTGCCCAGTCTCACACACACATCCAGGCATCTAAACGCGCACAAACAAACATTTTAAACTTGACAAAAACTCTCGAAAACCTTTACTGTCTGCTGTGTCTTTAATATGGTGTTAAGATTATTATGCGTTATTGAAACATAAAGGAGGACGCAGCAAAAAACGTCACTATAAATTAAAACTAGTTTATTATTTTATGCAGCAGCCTTACATTTAAAAGGGAAACATAAGGGTGATCATACGCAAAAAGACTATAAGGCTAGATGTTTTATTTCCCTTATTTCTTTATTTGTTTGGCACATGTACTCATGTGCGATCAGAAAACTGCCCGCCTCTCCTTTCACTCCGCCCCGAAGCCCCAACTGGCCTTCCTTGGCCCAAGGTATTCGGCGGGCCGAAAAAGGCCGGCCGCTGGCCCCAAGAAAGCGCCGCTTTGGCCCGATTAGGCCCCGGAAGTGACAGTGGAAACGCCACTGGCCTTGGCTCGCCCTGGCTCACTCGCTTTAGCCGCGATAGTGGAAACGCGGCTATTGTTTCTCCTGGATCCTAGGTTCAACCACAGCCCGCATCCTCCTCTACAGTACCTTGGCATAGACTTTCCCGAGAGACTGAGGAGTGTGATCCCCCTATAGTTGAAGCACACCCTCTGGTCCACCCCCTCCTTACAAATGGGAACCACCATCCCAGTTGCCCAATCCAGAGGTACTGTCCCCAACCTCCATGCGATATTGTAAAGACGTGTCAGCCAACACAGCTCCCCAATATTCAGAGACCTAAGACAAACAGGGTGAATCTCATCCACTCCTGCTGCTTTGCCACTGTTACGCTTGCTAACTACCTCAGTGACCTCAGCTTGGGTGATGGATGAGGCCACCCTTGCTTCCTCAGTCTCTGCTTTTTAATAGAAGACATGTCAGTGGGATTAAGGAGATTCACAAAGTATTCCTCTGTCCAAAAACATCACCAGTCGAGGTCAACAGCTACCCACTTCCACTGCAAACAGTGTGGAGCTGCTTTCCCCTCCTGACGGTCTCTTTGGGGCTGACTGATAATCTTCCTCCATGGTCTCCCTGAACTCTTGCCAGACCCGAGTTTTTGTTTCCGCAACTACCTGGGCTGCAGTACACTTGGCCTGCCGGAACCCATCAGCTGCCTCAGGAGTCCTGCAAGTCAACCAAGCCCTGTAGGACACCTTTTTCAGCTTGATGGCACGCCTTACTTCTGGTGTCCACCACCGAGTTTGTGGATTGCCACCTAGACAGGGACCACAGACCATACGGCCACAGCTCCTCACAGCAGCATCAACAATGGAGTGGGAAAACATGGATCACTTGGCCTCAATGTCTCCAGCCTCCCTCGGGATCTGGTCAAAGCTCTTCGAGAGGTGAGAGTTAAAAATCACTCTGACTTTAGATTCAGCCAGGCGTTCCAAGAGGATACGTTTGGGTCTGCCAGGTCTGTCCAGCTTTCCCCCCTGCCAGCGGATCCAACTCACCACTAGGTGGTGATCAGTTGACAGCTCTGCCCCTCTCTTTACCCGAGTTTCCAAGACATATGGTCGGAGAACAGATGATACAACCACAATGTCGAACATTGACCTCAGCCTTAGGGTGTCCTGGTGCCATGTGCACTGATGGACACCCTTATGCTCAAATATGGTGTTTGTTATGGACAAACTGTGATTAGCACAGAAATCCAATAACAGAACACCACTCGGATTTAGATCAGTATTTTGCCCTGGCAATGGTGTTCTGAACCAAAGCTTGACAGATAGTTAACAGAAATAAAGCACCATTACACTTTCTTCTTCCGAATGTGAAGCACTTTTACTTGATTTACTTGTAAAACTAAAAAGGAAAAATACAAAAGGTAAAAATTACAAAGTGATTACGAAATATCACAAATAATATACATCTTTTATATTTGTAAACATAAACTGACATATTTAAACTAATGTCAAACAGCTAAATAAACAATCCAGCCACTTTAATGACGTGCATCTATATGAAAGCTCGTTAGCATTTAGAAGCATCAAGCATTAAACATGTCAATACTGACCCTCCTTAATCAATTTAACCCAAAAAAAGTATTGCAGATATTTTCAAAATAAAATTAGTAACTTACAGTCGTTTCTATCACAGGGGCTGAAAGCAAACAACAACGCGTCTGTGCATGGCGATCACAGTCTCTTCTTCTATGACTTTTTAAACATCAGGTTGTTGTAAAGAATGGCGCAATGACATTTTCCGCCACTAGATGTCACAATTACACCACTTAAATAAACCAATGCACAGCTTACAAAACGAAACATCATACAGTACAATCAGGGAAGCCGTTCTTCTCAATTCTCTCAATTTGTTCTTCTGTCATTACCCACGTGGGCATTGAAGTCCCCCAGTAGAGTCTGAGCACCTTCCAGCACCCCTCCCAAGGAGTCCAAGAAGGCCGGGTACTCTGCACTGGTGTTTGGCCCGTAGGCACAAACCACAGTGAAAGACCTATCCCTGACCCGAAGGCGCAGTGAGGTGACCCTCTCGTTCACCGCGGAAAACTCTCACACATGGTGGCTTAAGCCTGATTTATACTTCTGCGTCAAGTGACCGGCGTAACCCACGGCACATGCAACGCTTCCGAAACACTAGTTGGCAGTGAGGTGTAAATGTTCCTCTGTGTCGAGTTTCTTCGCTGTTGTTTTGCTTTTCCTGAACACTTCCGGGATGTACAAGTGGCTCAAACTCGCTCATTTTGAGGCAGCAACCGGCGGACGTGCAGCAACTTTAACTATGAGGTAAACACAAAACAAAACTTTCCATCCGGAGCTCCTTCACAGGACTCCACACTTGTAAACAATCGCTATATTGGGTTCGCGCGGCTCTCGGTCCCGCCCAGACTCGTCAGCGCTACCAAGCCGACCAATCACAGAGCTTGCGCTACGCGTCGTTGCGACGTGTAGTTACAATTTTTGAGAGGTGCACGTCAGCCACGCCGACGGCCACGGCGAAGGGCTATGCATCAGCGCCGTAGCATACGCTGGCGTTTGACGCAGAAGTATAAATCAGCCTTTAAGATGTTGAGTTCCAAAGCACCGGTTGTGTGTGGAGGTGAGCATTACTATCTCTAGTTGGTACCTTTCCACCTCCCGCACAAGCTTGGGTTCCTTCTCTCCCAGTGAGGTGACATTTCATGTCCCAAGAGCCAGTTTCTGTGCCCAACGATCAGGTTGTCGTGGTCCTAACTTTCGACGACCAGCCGTTCCACAATGCACTGGTCACTTACGGCTCCCCGTGCAAGTGGTGGGCCTGCAGGAGGATGGTCCCCCGTTGCTTCTTTGTGCTAAGCCCACAGGGTTCCATGGAAAAAAAAAAAAAAAACGGCCACCAGGTATTTGCATACGAGCCCCAACCCCAGGCCTGACTCCAGGGTGGGGCCCCATTTGACGTCAAGGTCCTCAAAGTCATTAAGCTCATAAGGTTTTTTAAAATCACACTTAGTCTGAACTGTCACCAAAGACCTTTTTGACAATAGCCCCCGACAACATAGCTCTTAGGATCACTCAGGCACTCAAACCCCTCCACCACGATTAGGTGGCAGTTCATAGAGGACTGGTTTGTTTCCTTCAGCAAATTTGCTATCAGTTAGAATAAGAGTTTAATGCAAGAAGCTACATTTTTTTCCAGTGAGCCTGACACATACATAAACATTTTCCCCTCTTCACTGAAGTCCTGAGGTAAAGTTGGATGCCATCAATGATATATACCTGAATTTCCTTAATTTTTGCAGTCCAGTAGCAGTCATTTTTGTATAAGATGTGTGTTTCTGATTGCAAAAGATGCAGATCTGATTTTTATATATATCTAAAAATGATATGTGTATGTTCAAATGAGTGACTGTCATAATCTAGTGGCAACATATGCAAGGTGATACAGCGGTAAATAGGTCATTATTCTGGGTCACATTTATACTGTATGCACTGCAGGATTTAAACGGGATCAAAGCTATGAGATTATTCACGTCATTATGAAATTAGATATATGGGTATTGAATGAATAAGTAAGCCTAAAACTGAACCTGTCTTTTTTTTTTTTTTTTAGTTTGTATTCCTCACCTATATTCTGGGCTTGGGATGGCTAGGCATCTTTGGATTTTCTGCTGTGCCTGTTTTCCTCTTTTATAACATGTGGACCACATGTGGTGCCATGAAATCCCCAATTGCCAATCTCACCTCTGTGGACAACATCTGTGTTGATGTGCGGCAGTATGGTAAACACACTAACCACCCTTTTATGTGAATTCTTTGATGTTATTGAAAATACAGTGGTTAGGATAAATTTTTCTGGGCTTAAAAGTGTACTTTTCCTTTTATAAGTATAATTTGCTAAAAATTGTAAATGATGTTACTATTCATTTCATTCAATAACCTGTAAAGAATAAGTGTAAAGCTTAAGTAGTGCTTAGACAGATATGAGTAATACTTGTAATACTTTTCAGGTATCATCCCATGGAATGCGAACCCTGGTAAAGCCTGTGGGTCCACACTAAGCGACATCTGCAATACCAGTGAGGTAAAAAGCATTGATTCTGAAAAATAATTTTAAAAAAATCTTAAAATTATATTTTGCATATATATTTTTACAAAAACACATAACTTAGCAAACTGAGCAAAGGTATGCCAATAAATGCAGTTGTTGCTGCTATTTAGCTTGTACTGTATATCGTGATTTATGTTTACAGCAGGCTACTTGTTTATATATTGCATATAATAGATATATTTCAGTTTTCACACTATATTTCCAATTTTTTTCAGAAGATGACACATGTACTGGATAAACATTCTTTCTTGCTGTATCCTATTTAAAATTGACAAAATCTAAAACTGTGGATAATCAAGAAAACAGCTTTGCTTAAACTCAGTGTACAGTACTTAAAAACCACAAAACACCATTGTGGAATATACATTTTTTATATTATAATAAATATTGTACTTATTTAGAAATATAACACACACACACACACACACACACACACACACACACACACACACACACACACACACACACACACACACACACACACACACACACACACACACACACCATAATTAAGACAATAAAACAAGAACATAAAATATTTAGAAGAGAACATAAAATATTTAATGGATTTCGGAAACTTTTCTTTGCAGTTCTATTTGTCCTACCATCTTTATATTGTTGCCTGTGCTGGAGCTGGTGCCACAGTGATTGCACTGGTAAGAATTCATGTTTATTGCAATGTAATGTTAATGTTTTTTATTATTATTGTGTTGTAGTAAAGTATTTATTTTATGTCCAGAATTATTTCTTTTTATGGTAAATGTGTTTTTTGTAATGGTTTAGATGTCTTCAAACCTTCTCAGTCCTACAAAAGTTTTTTTCCAACACATGTGTCTGTGTATTTTTGCATGATTCAGAAAAGTGTTCCAGTGTAATTATGAATTATATGTTACTCAGTTATTTCCTTTAATTCTTAACTGATAATGGTAATCACATCAAGGCAGTCAATGTAAGATCATACATCAATCCAAAATAACTGCTTATTTAAACTTTATGATTAAATTAAAAAAATGATTGTGACTTCTTTGGGCTCAGTAATGCCTAATGCATGGTATTTAAATTTAAAAAGGACAGAATCAGGCTATAATGTATTTCAGGCTATTATGTAAATTTATGCAAAAAATAAAATAAAAAAATCCATTCCGTGTACAATTAGATTCCTCTGAATACTACTTGCATTAGAATTTGTTATAGTTCATTGCTTTTGGTATTCTTTACATAATATTTAATAATATAATAACATAATAAGGTACAATTTCTGTGTTCCGAAAATGTGATTGAGTAATAATGAATTGTTGTAAAGGTAACCTTTCTCATATTTTTACTTTGTATTTTTGATGTTTAATATTATATCCAAATATATGCGTCTTTAAATGACTTTTACTATAAGTGCCTTTTCTTTTGATTATATTCTAATCTACTAATATTGATTTCTGTGTAGTGCAGCTATTATAATTCACCATAATAATTTGAAGTAGTTTTATGGCAATTAATCAATACTGTTCTAACACTTAGAGCTGGCTTTAACTAACTAACTTACTCATGATGACAAATCCTTCCTTCCACTTCTTTCTTCCTTTCTGTTACTCTATCTCTTTTGTCCTCCCCATCTCTGCTGTCTACAGATCCACTACCTGATGATCTTGGCAGCAAACTGGGCCTATCTGAAGGGGGCATGTCAGCAGACCCATGCCTATCAGGACATAAAGACCAGGGATGATCAAGAACTTCAGGATGTGCAGTCACGCTCTAAGGAGGGTCTCAATTCATACTCATAAATAGTTTTCCAAACTGTTCTATCCCACCTCTGTCTAAATCTATTTCCCATCTCTAAAGTCTAACTCCTCTCTGTTTTATTTTCAACCTCTTGCTTTCTAGAACACTAATACTACTAGTGGTGAACTATCCTGACAATACATCATAACAATAATGACAACGTTATATTCTTTTAACCAAATTGAACATGAGTTGAACCATACCAAATGTAGATAATGAATCTGATGATATGTTGTTTGCTCATCAATTTGATGGTAGAAAAAATTAAATGATTATTAAATGATTATTACTGGGTTATGTTTTGTTTTATGATGTATTGTCTTGGTGAGGCGCCACAAAGAATAGAAAGTCTGCACTAACTCCTCACAGCTCACCGACATCCCTTTTGGGGAATGAATATATATATTAGGGATGCAACAACACACTTAGCCCACGATTCAATACATACCTCGGTTCGGTTCAGTTCTCATGGCTTGACACGTTTTTTTTTGGTTTTTTTTCTATAGGCAATAGAAACAGTAAGAGGTTAAGGAGAAAAAAATTTAAACGATTTATTGCAATACTCATTTGGTTTTACTTAAAAGCCAAGAAAAGTACAGTAATTCCAAGTGGATTGTATTAAAAAAATGAACACTGAAATCTCACAGCTACTGATAGCTCATGTACAAACCGCGTATTGAACCGTGGAAGTTGTACCGTACGGTTCAATATTACATTGAGAACTGTGGCATCCCTAATATATGTATAAATATATATATATATATACACACACACACACACACACACACACACAAACACACACACACACACACACACACACACACACACACAGACACACACACGCACGTGTCTGTGTGTGTGTGTGTGTGTGTGTGTGTGTGTATGTATGTGTGTGTGTGTGTGTGTGTGTGTGTGTGTGTGTGTGTGTGTGTGTGTACCTGTATGTGTGTGTGTGTGTGAGTGAGTTTGTGTCTGTCTGTGTGAAGGGAGATATGGACGCCAGGGTGCGCATTAATGTCTGTGTATGTAGAATTTTTCTTTTTGATCTGAATCACTGAATTCACCACTTCATTCCAACTCTCTTTTTGTTGGGGAAAGTACTGGCTTTTGACAAATTGCACTAATCTTATAATAGAAATCTTATTACCATAAACATACATACAAACCAGGGGGAAAAAGTTTTTATATATATATATTGTATTAAAAAAATACAATATATATATATATATATATATATATATATATATATATATATATATATATATATATATATATATATACATACATACAGTTGAAGTCCAAATTATTAGCCCTCCTTAGAATTTTTTTTCTCTTTTAAATATTTCCCTAATGATGTTTAACAGAGCAAGGATTTTTTTCACAGTATTTTTCTTCTAGAGAGAGTCTGTTATAGTATATATATAAATATATGTGTATTTTTTTCCCTTTTTTTTCCTTTTTTTTCTGCAGAATAAACCATTGATAAACAATGATTTACCTAATTATCCTGACTTGCCCAGTTAACTTAATTTACCTAGTTAAGCTTTACATTTCAATTTAAGTGTCACTTTAATTGTCTTGAAAAATATTTGGTAAAATATAATTTACTGTCATCATGGCAAAGATAAAAGAAAACGGTTATTAGAAATGAGTTATTAAAACTATTATGTTTAGAAATGTGTTTTCCCTCCGTCAAAAAGTAATTGGGGAAAAAAATAAACAGGGGTGCTAATAATTCAGGGGGGCTAATAATTCTGACTTTAACTGTAGAGAGAGAGAGAGAGAGAGAGAGAGAGAGAGAGAGAGAGAGAGAGAGAGAGAGAGAGAGAGAGAGACCACTTGACAATAAAAGTTACACTGTTTTATTCACCTTTGTTTAAGGTCTGAGAAATTCCTTCCAGATTTTAGAAAAAATATATAGTTTAGATGTTTTTCTCCTGAAAAAATTACACTTGTTAAGAAATATAGATTTCTTTACTGTTTTTTAAGTTAAATCAATGGTAATGTGTTGTCTGAACAACATGCAACCATTTCTGTATAGTGATATATACATCAGAAGCTACCTGCATGACAAAAATTACATTTAAATGAAACACATCAGTAACTACAAATTGTAGATTTAAAGAAACTGTAAATTGTCAAGTAGTCTCTTATTTTTTCATAGCTGTGTTTGTCCAAAATACAAAACAATCTCAAATAAAGATTTAAGCAAGGTGTTTATCAGACTTATGACTAATTATGGAAAGAGTGTTGTTTACCACGTTTTTTTTTTTTAGATGACTGTGACTCTTTAGTGTGAGTAATTGCTAAGTGGATGTGACATCTGATAATGGTTTGAATTTACTGTTGAATAATGCAGCCTTGTTTTTGCAGTGTATCTTTTTCCTAAATACGTTTGTCTCTCTTTCTATTTCTACTTTTACAATATGAATCTTTTTATTGATCTGTCTTTTAACTGATGTAAATATATGCATGTTAGTATTGTCCACATACAGTAGTTTTACTATGAATTATTTGATGTTTTTTGCTATATGTTAAAATCTGTGAAAGGGACGTATCTAAAATCTATTTAGCTTGGTTTTTAACAGATTTGTGCCTGGATGTTCTATTTGTCCCTCATTACTGCATGAAGGGGGTATATTTCAGATATTTCTGCAGTATTTTTATAGGGATAGTTGCCCCAAAAATCACAATTCACTTACTATTTACTTTCTCTCAATGGTTCCAAACCTTTATTTTAAAAATCAGTTCAACTGAGTTTCATTCAAGTTTGAATGAAGCTAAAAACATGTAACCATTGGGGAAAACAAATTCTACAGCAGTCAATAGTTTTTAATTGGTTTTATCTTTTATTTGTTAAAAAAAGGAGTCAAACAGGTTTATAGCATGTATAGAGTTTTGGGGTGAACTATCTCTTTAAGTGATGTGTAGTCTATTGTTTCAATGAACTACAAAAGACAGTAACCCTACAACCCCACCCTCCCCCTCAGTAATCCACCGTATGTTAATTGAAACTGTAATCTTAGATGTTTCATAGTGCATTATCTTTGAAGTCAGATGTTAACTATAGTGATTTTTGTATCCTCTAGTAAAATATTTTCTATGATCTACATGAACTCTTTTGTGTTTATTATTACAATTATATTTCTGCTGTACACCACCTGGTGTAAGAATAATAACACTGTGTCCTTGGTTTCATTCATACATTTTCTTTTCGGCTTAGTTCCTTTATTAGTCTGGGGTCGCCACAGCGGAATGAACCGCCGACGTATACAGCAAATCTTTTATGCAGTGGATGCCCTTCCAGCTGCAACCCATCACTGGAAAACATCCATACACACTCATTCACACACATGCACTCATACACTACGGTTAATTTTAGCTTACCCAATTCACCTTTACCACATGTCTTTGGACTTGGGGAAGAACCGGAACATCCGAAGGAAACCCACGTGAACACAGGGCGAACATGCCACCGACTCTTTTTTCGAAGTAAGGGATTTATAAAGCATAAATAGTCCTCACTATAGATTAAGTCACAAAACTGCATGAAGTTGAGTTAATAAAGCATTTATTAACATATTAGTTAACTATTAGTATATGCCTGAATAATAAAATATATAAATGTTATATATTTATAACATTAATATACGATTAAGAAAGTATTAAGTGTAAACGACCGGTACAGGGAAGAAAGGACAGAAGCTTTTATTATTATATTATTATATTATTATAATATTATTATATATTATAATATTATTATATTATATTATATTATATTATATTATATTATATTATATTATATTATATTATATTATATTATATTATATTATATTATATTATATTATAGAGAAGTCTTAGTTATTCTGTTCTAGACAATTGTGTACATTTAAATTTCCACTTCTCACATTTAATTAGCAATAGTTGCCTCTACACTGTTGCCAGTATTCCAATGTAAAAAGCCCAACCAACACTAAGCATCCAAAGATAACAAAAAAAAAAAACTTAAGACAACAAAATGTTTCAGTTACAGTTGGAAACACAACTCAAAAATTCTTCAAACTAAAATTCTTCAACCCGGGACCTGACAAGGGAAGTTTTTGTGTGAATGGCCGGGAATTTGTGATTCTCTGTGATGATTTCTGTGCACGTTACCTAATTGAGGAGACTGAAATAGGATGTATTTTATGTGTATAAAATCGGCTTAGTTGCCAGAAAAGCATGCTTTACTGTTTGCAATGAAAGTAATGTAAAAAGTTGTGAGGACATGCTAATCAGCTAACAATAGCTTTCAGGTACACAGATTAATGTAACAGCAATTTAACTTCATGCATAAACTTATTTTAGAAACCCTAAAAAAAATTTATATAAGGCTTAAAACATATTAGACTCTGATCTCATAGACAGAGAGTGGAGCACACTCAAAAGAAAACAAATCAACCTGGCTTCCTTAAAGGGGAAACACATCTGTGTTTAGAATAAGACAGATAGTCTGTTAAATTAAAGCAATATTTAAAAAGTAAATTACTGGAATTTATTCTTTGCACTACACACAATTTAATACAAATCCTTGTTTTAAAGTAAAATACTATTTCCTTACAGCAAAACACTGGGTATTTTAGAGTTATTTACTGTATTATTTACAGCAGGGGTTAACATTGTGGTTTGCATTAGTTGGGAATCACACTTGCTGTCTTAGCTGGTTGTGACAAACGCCTATAAAGTATTCTTTTTTTTTTTTTTTTTTTAACTAAAGCAATCAAAACAATTTTGACAATTCTATTATTTTGAATTTAGAGAGGGTTTGTGTTAATATTTATGCAGTAATTAACACTTACTATATCAACAATGCTTGTGAATTCCTTAGTTTTTAGACATTACTAAGGAATTGTGGATTTGAATATACAACTAGACAAGCTAAATTACTTCTTTTTGACAAGGTTTAGATATTGTTTGACATGGTGATTAAAAGTGTTAATTTTTGCATTACGAGTACATCAAAAACTAGCTAAAGACTACATAAAAGACTTAACATTTTGTGTTATGCAGAGTGTGTGTGAGTGTGTATTTCACACTTAAAGTGTCACCCCTTTACCTCTGTGCACTTGTTTTTAGCATGCTGGTAAATTTGAATGTACAACAATGAATGTACATATTTCAGATTTTTCCCATTCATTTCCTGTGACAGTGATTTTTGACCACGAAGACCTCAAATGTGTCTATTATTTATTACCAACCATTTAGCATGCTTTTATGGCCTCAAAAAATTCATACACCGGACCAACAAAGATCAGTGGGGTTTACATTTTTTCCTTAGAATTCCAGTTAGGAGACTGAGTAATACAAAGTTATTTTTGTCTTGTGTGCAATACACAAGTAAATGCAGACTGTTTCTTATTAATAGTAATAATAATCAAGTAATGGCACCTTTTTCCCGTGTTTCCCACTGTGCACTCAAACACCTAAGTTGTAAACAGCTTCATCTGTTGCTGCAGTTAAACCACATGCTATAACGCTCACAGAGCAACGTGTCAACATCCAACTGGATACCATTTTTGACTCAAACAAATCAACGATCGCTCGCGCAAATGGCAACACACAGTTAATTACTTTTTTTTTTTTGCAGGAAGGTTTCTGAAAGGGTCTTGTCTAATGTCTTTATTTTCCTACACCCTTTTCAATCCATTCATTCATTCATTCATTTTCTTTTCCGCTTAGTCCCTTTATTAATCTCGGATCACTACAGCGGAATGAACCACCAACTTATCAAGCATTTGTTTCATGCAGTGGATGGCCTTCCAGCTTCAACCCATCATCAATTGGAAACATATCCATACACACTCAGTCACACACATACACTACGGACAATTTAGCTTACCTAATTCACCTGTATACCGCATTTGTTTGGACTTGTGGGGGAAACCGGAGCACCTGGAGATAACCCAAGCAAACACAGGAAGATCATGCAAACTCCACACAGAAACACCATCTGACTCAGTCGAGGCTCGAACTAGCAACCTTCTGACTGGGAGGCGAACGTGCTACCCACTGCACCACTGTGCAGCCCCACCCTTTTTTTAAATGAATATTTTAATCCCCTCTCAACCATAACCTGGTCACATTTAAATTATGGCCTTAATTTTTTTGTGTGCTCACATACCAAATGCCAACAATGGCAAATTTCAAAAACAAAAATGACTTCTTATACACATCTGTAACTTCATTTACCTGTGTGTATGTGTGTGTGTACTACAAATAAACCAACTAAAATACCAAATTAAGAGCAAATTAAAGTTTTTTTTATTATTATTACAACAGTTAACATTTTCTGTTGTCATTATATGGTTTGTGGAAATTTCGCATGCTTGCTTTTTTATTTACTTTTTTATTGAAAAAAAAAGATACCTGAAAAGTGAACACAATGAATTTACATTTCTAAATATGACAGTCACCATTCAATATGAAAACCAATGCAGAATGCAACACAAAGAAACCCTAAAACCATATTGACAACATGACATACTGAATTTGTTATTTTTCTTTCTCTCTCTTACCAATAAAAATCTCTCTGTATTGGTTAGTTGTCGAAGCTTGGATCAAGTTCAAATCATGGATGCTTGCTTACTGGACAGCAAATGACACTGCATCTTCTTACCTTCACCTGCTAGGTCTACATACCTTCCAGGAGCCTCCCGTCGGGGAGTAAGCATCGACTTGTGCACTGTAAAAAATTAATGTGCCAATTAGTTATGACCACTTAACATTTTGTGTTATGTTAACTTATCTGGATTGATTGAATGTGTTGACAAGTTATATATCAAAGTTTTACTTGGCTGAACTTATTAGACTTAAAAAAAAATGAGTCAGCTGAACTCATATAAATTAGTCAACAACTTTTTAAAACATTTGAGCTTTAAATAGTATAAATTTGTGCAAATGAAAATGAATATTTTTTTTTAATTAAATAAATCCACTTTAAAGTTGTATACTGTGTGTATATTAACAGTTTTATGCAAAAGTTTGGCCACCCCTGATAATTTTCATAATTGCAAGCCATAGCCTGATGGCCTTTCCAATCAGCAATTTCATTTGGATATATTTTACACCCTAGGGAAAAAGCAACATTACAGTTCTGATATAACATTTATTAAATCAAAAGATGCAATGCAATATAAGTCATAAGAAAAACAGACAGGTGCAAATAGTTGGGTAATCTTTTGTACAGCCACATTTTGCTGAAATAACAGCATGTAGATGCTTATTATAGTCAAGGACAAGTCCCTGAATTCTTGCTGAAGGCATTTTGGGCCATTCTTCCTTGCAAAATTTCTCCAGTTCAGTCAGGTGTGATGGGTACCGGGCGTGAACGACCCTTTTCAAATCAATCCATAGATTTCCAATGATGTTCAAGTCTGGGGACTGGGATGGTCATTCTAAAACATTGTATAGCGTAAGAGCATGAATTCCTTGGTAGATCCTGAACTGTGCCTTGGGTCATTGTCCTGCTGAAACATCCAACCCTGTTGTAACGTCAGCCTCTTGACTGATCCTGAAATCCATGCGACCTTCAACTCTGACACTCCACCATATTTTACAGGACCATTTTGGGGAGCAGGTTCTTCTACTGGAATGCTGTTTTCTTATACTGTCTTGCATAGTGCCTATGGTTGTTGCATCTGTCCAAGGTATATTTTTCCAAAATGATTCAAATCACAAATCAAATAACAAATCACTTTTATTGTTTCATCATCAGCAGGACGTGTACTATGATGAGTAAAAAGCTTAGATGCTGGCTCCAGACAGTACAAAATACAGACAGTGCAAAATACAGACACTGCATTGTGCAAAAACAGGACAATGTAAAATTGACAGCGATATGTACAGTGAATAGGTGTCCAAATAGTTGTAAGCAGTATTGTTTCAAGTATGGATTGGTTAAAGTGCAGCGCATGCTACATATTGATGGTGTGCAGTGAGGGGTATGGAAGAGTCTGTGTGGGGTGTGTTAAGAGTTCATCAGCCTGATAGTCTGAGGGAAGTAACTTACTACTACGCGTCCAGCAGGTTGAAGGCCTTTGCGACTGCTGCTGGTGCTATTTCCATACCAGGTGGTGGTGATACCAGGTGGTGATAAAAGCCAGAAAGGATGCTCTCCACAGTGCAGGTGTAGAACGAGCAGAGGATGTGAGGGCTCATTCCAAACCTCCTGAGACGTCTGAGGAAGAAGAGGCGTTGTTGTGCCTTCCTCAGCACTGCGTCTGTGTGAGCAGTCCATGTCAAATCCTCAGCGATGTGTACTCCAAGAAACTTGAAAGTGCTGACTCTCTCCACTGGTGTGCCTTTGATGGTGATGGGGTGTGTTCTTTCATCTCTCTCCTGAAATCCACCACCTGCTTCTTGGTTTTGCTGATGTTAAGTGAGAGGTGGTTTTCCTCACACAACTGCGTCAGAGTGTGCACCTCCTCTCTGTAGGCCGTCTCATGATTATTGGTAATTCGGCTCATCACCGTTGTGTCATCAGGAAATTTAACGATGACGTTGGAGCTGTGTTTGGCTGTACAGTCATGTGTGTACAGGGAGTACAGGAGTGGGCTGAAAACACAGCCCTGTGGAGCACCAGTGTTGAGGATCAGTGTGGATGATGTAATATTGTTCATTCTGACCACCTTGACAGGAAGTCCAGGATCCAGTTGCACAGAGAGCTGTGTAGACCCAGATCCTGGAGCTTCACCACCAGCTTTGCAGGCATTATGGTGTAAAATGCTGAGCTGTAGTCCACAAATAGCATTCTCACATATGTGTTTTTGTTTTCCAGGTGAGACAGAGCTGTTTGCAAGGTGAAAGCAATTGCATCATCAGTGGAGTGGTTAATCCTGTATATGCAAATTGCAGAGGGTCAGTGTAAGCGGGCAGTACAGAGCAAATGTGCTTTTTAATCAGCTTCTTAAAGCACTTGCTGAAAATGGGTGTCAAAGCAACTGGACGCCAGTCATTAAAGCATGTATTTTTAGCTTGTCGTTCAGGCTTGTCCAAATGAGACTTTGCATAGTTTTAATGACTTTTCTTGTTGGAAGAATGCAGAAAAGGCTTCTTCTGCATCACCCTTCCACTGAGCTGTTCTTTGTGAAAAGTGTGTTGGACTGTGAAACGATGTACAGTGACATTATTAGCAGCAAGATGTTCCTGGTGATCTTTGGAGATGTCTAAGTCTGTTGTTTGTCTATGACCATTCTAACGATTCTTCGTCTTTACTTTTCAGATATTTTTCCTTGGTTTAGCACATCTTTTCTTCACAAGAACTGTCACTGTCGCCTTTTATTTTCTTACTGTATTTCTGACTGTGGCGATAGAAACTTTAAACCTTTGATAGCTTTTCGTATCCTTTTCGTAATCCATGTTTAAAATGCAATGTCACAGCTTTCTGAGGTGGTCAACAAAAAGCCTTGCATCAACCCTCAATTGTGAAGTCCACCAGGCCATAACCCTTTATTCCCAACATATTCTATGCATTCTCCTGGAAAGCTTTCTCATGTATTTATGTTGTTAGACTGCAGAAATAGACTTGCTTTCTTTTTTCTTTCTTTTATTTTATCATTTTGGTAACAAAGCTGTGCTGCTAAAAAGGGAATGAAAAGAAGGCAATAGCACACTGTTTGTGATGGCAGACTAAGTTTTCACCAGGTCACCTGCTTCTCCTGTTCAATGGCTGTGTATAAAATATACAGATTAAATTCACATCATTGTTGCAACTGTTTTTATTCAACTTTTACTTCTGCAAGAAGATTAATAATTATAGCCTAAGCTTTTATCAAAGGTGGTGACTTCAACCTGGTTTGGTTTGTTAGACATGGATTGTTGTCTGATTAAAGAACAAAAGAGAATGGATCAAAATGAATTTCTTTCCACCTTCTTGTCTTTGAAATAGGAAAATGAAGGAGGCACTGAACTTCATGAAATTATTGTTCATTCAGAGGTGATTTGTATCACATCATGCTGATGTCCCTGACAGCACACATAGCACTGAACAAAACCGCACCCTTTTGAATGGTGTCTCACAAATATAATTGGTTACAGTGGGTGTGATTTTGCCAAGTATATGATTAAAATCTATGTTGATCCTAAGATATAATTTTTTTCTGAAAAATGTAATCATACCTAATCCCGATCCCTAAACCCAACCCTAACTGCAAATTATTCCCAAAATCAGAGGAGAATTTTAGTTATAGTTATACAATTATATTGGACAACAATCATGTAGAAGTAGTGTACATAACCCTAACTGTAAGCCTAAACGTAACATAAACGGTAAATGTATCCCTTAATTCTGATTGTTATAGAATAAACACAGATGTTAATGCATGAACATGTCCTACTTGGTGAAATCCCACAAACTGATTATTTGGCCTAGCTAACATTAGCAGTTCCCACTATGAGATTACAAAAGAGACACAAATATGATAATGTTAATGTGGTAAAATTGTTGTTTTGTATACATGTTTTGCAACTGTAAAAATCATATTAAAAAATTTTATATTTTCAAAGATGGTTATATATTTATAGTGTACGTGTATGCTATAGCGCAAGCATGAAATAGAGGGTAATATGCTATCAAAGGATACGTCGGCTCTCCTGGAGAGCAGAACAAGGGTCGGTTATAATACCAAAATATGTATTCTTCGATTACTCTCTGAAGCTAGACCTCGCTCATATGTAAATTTATAATTAACTCACTGCTTTTTGGGATAAATTATCCATCACAAATGTAAAATTTATCAAAGAAACACCCTTTTTTGTTTAAAAAAAAAAAAGATTTTGATGTATATGTGAACTACCTAAAAAACTAATAATTATTGCTTGTAAAACTCTTTCTTGGTGTAAATCTTTTAAACTTGTATATTTTGCCTTGTCCCTTTTTTCATATTGTGTTTCTGAAAAAGTTATTTCTTGCATTAAAAAAAGGCTCAGGTATTCATAAATTCTTCCCAGTTAAACATTTTCTCAGTAAATTAAAATAAAATAAAATTAGTCATTACAAGATATAAACTCTTTATATTTAAAAAACTGTACCCCACATCGCAGTGTAGTTAGCCTATGTTAAAATGCTGTATTTCTATGTTCATAACAAAAGGTACTCTTTAATGTACATTTTTAAATTTTTGTATTTTATTTCCCATAATGTAAATAACAAAGTTTTTGTAATAAGTCTATATATTTTGTTTAATATTAACATGTGTAAATTTTCTAACAAACAACTTGTTTTATAGTATTTCATAAGGTGTTGAAAATGTATATTTGTACTATTCAACACCGTACTAACTGAAATTCAATTCTGGTTTATGAAGAAAGAAAAAAAGCAATTAAAACGATCCAGTTGTGTTGTTTTATTAATAAGGCCACTTGTAAGAATTTTATTTAATTATTCATTTGTTATTAATATTTGCCTGTTTTTATTCATGTACTGTTATTCACCTTCTATCAACCTAGCTTTATCCTGTTTTATTGTCATGTGGTTGTTTCAAGCATGAAAAAAAGATTGTGCGGGTTATATGAATGTTTGTACAAATTTGTCATTTAAATCACAGGAACTCAAAAAAGGAAAGGTATGAATATGAATATGAATTTGTTTAACACTATGTCAAATATCTACATTGTTTTTTTTCTTTGTTCTTTAAGTTTTTGTGTTACTTTTAACATGGTTTTAGCATCGTGCTAGACGCCATCTGGTGGACATTGTATCTGGATGTTTTTTTTTTTTTACATTTTTTTTTTTTACATTTTAACTTCAAATAACAAACAGGCATTTTCAGCTTCCATTGTTAAACATATATAACATTATATCCAAGCAGCATATAATAAACAAAACAGTACAAAAATAATAATATAAATCTATATTTATATTTAAATAAAACTTAAATAATAAAAAAAGAAAGTACATTACTTTCAGGGGGGTCAGTCCATATAAGTTGACAAAAGCTTAGAGAGCTTTAAGGCACCTTTTGTTTTTGCCTGTTTTATATATTTATATAAAATGTTGAAATCATTTTAAATGCTTTAAAACAAGGAGAATCTTCAACAAATCTACATTTGTATATATAAAAGTTTGCTAGAATCAACATATTATTACACAGAAATATTTTTTTTTTAGTTTTTCATAAAAATGTCAAATTTCATGCATAAACATGCACTCTATTTTATTAACTCAAGTGTTACATAAGCAGAGACTTAAAAAGGCAAAACGGGAAAAAAAAACTAGGGGAACTATGTTTTTCTGAGACTATTTGTTGTTTTATTTATGTTTTTTAACTAAAGTTAGGCTAAATAAATTATTTATAATTATAAATTATTATTATTTGATTTTACTTGCTTCTTTACACAGTATTTGTCATAATTTTGTAATAATGCCGAGGCGACTTTAAAATGCAGATGTAGAGTACTTTTAGTTTGGTAATGATCCGGAAGTATTCTTGAACACGTGCGTTTAGAGTGTGTTTTTTTCACGTGTGGATCCATGGTATTGATGCTTGAAAGATCAGTTGCAACGTCTTAGAAAATATGAAGTTTGCGTACAAGGTATTCATTTTTTTCTTATAAAAAGAGTCTCGTTTTCTTTAAACATTTATGTATATCAGGTTGCCTGCTGGGTAAATTTTTGATAAAGACTGTTGTAAAATAAATATACAAAGTTGTTTGTTTTATCTGTACGATAACATTTAATTTAAACTTATTTTAATTTCTTTTTAGTTTTCAAACTTATTAGGGGCATTTTATCGCCAAGGGAACATATCTTTCTCTAAAAATGGGGATTCTGTCATCAGTCCTGTAGGCAACCGCATCTCCGTCTTTGATCTGAAAAAGTAAGTATCACACGTTTCACTGCCCGACTAAGTTTATTGGGTCGTGAGCTCAAAGTACTGTTAAGTGAGTTACGTCTTACTGCTTTTAGTTGAGAAAATGTTTTATATTTCCCCAGTAACAAGTCAGAAACCTTACCGGTGTCCACCTCAAAGAACATTGCTTGTTTTGACATCTCTCCAGACGGAAATCTTGCTATACTAATAGATGAAGGTATGTGAAGGTACCCAGCCACCGGCATTTTAACAGTGATGCAACTAAATACCTGATTCAGTCAGGTCTATAGTTAGATCAACGTTGAATTGCCTTTCTGTTTTGCAATTGGTTCAGTGATTTGGTAATCACTGGCAGGCCCGGATTAAGAACTCCGGGGCCCCTGGGCACATTGTCTTGTAAGGCCCCCTACCTGGCCGCACCCCTATAGATGAATTAAAAAAATAAGAATAATATAATAATTTTTAAATAAAATGAACCTATAATTTGTTTCCCACATATTTAAATAAATGATATATAGTACATATGTATTTATAGTCTACAAAGATTTAACTTATTTTTCAAAGCATTGAATAAAAATACTAATAAAACTATATATATATATATATATATATATATATATATATATATATATATATATATATAATTTTTTTAATTTTTTTTAAGGGTATTTTAATGTATTGCTTTTACAAAATTATAAAGCATATTATTGCCATGGCATATAACACACAATGCTTCTCCAATCCAGTTCTATGAATCTGAGTCTTTCATAATACAAACACTGATTTACTGTCTCTCTCCTTCTCTCCCTGTATTTTCTCTACTCTTCTCGTGATGAAGACTTGATTATAAACCTAAAAGTATCCGAAATCACACACACTATACCTCTTCTCTCCCGTCTCTCTCCTCTTCTTGGCCTTTCTCTCTCTCTCTCCCTCTCTTTCTTTTTTTCTGACTGTCTCTCACACAATGAATCCAGTTTGCGCTGCGCTGCCGTTAGCCTCCTCCGCCTGGTTAATGCTAGCTTCTCATCATTTAAAGTTACCATAACGTCTTCTTCTATACCCTCATTCTCCTGATCATGGGTCTGTTTAAAGATGGTGTGTATGGAAAATGCCTCAATAAAGATGCCTCCTCTCTTCTTACTCTCGCGTTTGCTAAATCCACTTGTTCACTCATTTTTGATCTATGACAGATATAACGTTACACTAAAGTCCGCTCAGTTTAGTGCGGGTTAATACAAAACTGACGTTTCCGCGCTTGACCAATTACAGCATTATGTTCAGTTAACTAAAAAAAGGCAATTTAAATATAATAATAATATTAATATGTGATCGCGATTTTTTTGCTCAGAGGAAATACAGTTGTCTGAGCAATATAGTGTTTGCAGAGAGGGAGGCACCTATAATAAGGCTAAACATTATTAAATACCCACGAGACACTTGTGACTTTATATCACATTTCCATTATTTTTAAAAAATGTTTCCTTCCTGTTAAAAATAAAAAATGTTTCCTTCCTGTTAAAAATGGGGAGAAAAAAAAAGTAGCACGAGTTCAGCTGATGGTGGATTCGAACCGAGTTTATGATTAATCGCGTCAAAAGATTATGCTGGGCGCCATACAAGGTGCGCCACTGTGACTGTAATGATTGACAGCTCTTTACTGGTGTTGTCTCTATCAATCAGGCATCAATGGGCGTAAACTCTGAATAGCTTATTCCAACTAGATGCGCTATTTGCAATTAGCCAAAAAAGACACTCCGAAATTGTCTTTTTTTCCTCCCCCCTCGCAGGGGCCCCTAGTGCGCACGGACCCCTGGGCCTGTGCCCATAAGGCCCATTGGTTAATCCGGCCCTGATCACTGGTGATTCATCGACTCACGAAATAACGACGCTGCTACCTTAATCATGGTTGTATTATAGTTATTCTGTACAGGTTGAGTGGGAGTTGAATGACGTTTCAATTTTGCAAAGGGATGCACCGATATGGATTTTTTTGGCCGATATACGTAACATTAGATTTGGAGCCCAATAACCGATATATTAGCCGAAGAATAAATGTTTAAAAATAAAAATGTTATATTTTTAAACACAAAATAGTTTTTTTTTTTAAACTGATCTTAGAATGGCCTAAAGCAAAAAAAGCAATATTTACAACATTGCAGGGTGATTATATAGACATATTTTCACAATTATACATAAATCAGCATGCCAAAAAAAAACTAAAAAAACTTCCTTTTCTTTATAGCAAATTGACATACAGCTTGTCTGTTGCATTAAAATAATAGGTTAAATAACATAATGGGAGTTATTTTAAATAAAATAAAAATGAAAGAACTATTGAAACTAGCTCAAATGTTCTTAAATAAGAACAATTTATTCCCTGTTACAGTGTTCAGTTGTAAAGGTTGTTGCACACTGAATTCAAAATTATGAATTAAATTCGACCTCATGTTTTGTAAACCATATTTTACACACTGCCTCTGAAACATTCGTCCATTATTAAAAAAAAAAAAAATGTTATCTGGTTTATTTGTTTTGACAGTTCAGAGCCACTGCAGAAGTGAAAAGCTAAATACTAGTGATGGGAAGTTCGGATCATTTTACTGACTCTGATCTAGGGCTGGGCGATTTAGCAAAAAAAAATTAAAAATCTAGGTTTTTTATAAAGTTTGACCGATTCACGATTTAATTTTTTTTTTTGTGTGTGTGTTACTAGTCTTCTCAAAACATTACAACAACATGACTGAAGTAACACTCTCTTTAAAAGTAACTTAAAAAACCATCTGGTTAAGCAACATTGTATTTTTAATGGCGATGTCATACAAAAATCGGTCAAGGTGTAAATAAACAAATTCACGAGTTAAATAGCGTTGCTGAAGATTTGAATAAGAAATATTTGTGTAAATATTGTACTTGCAAGAATACAGAGGTATTTTTCCAAGTTTTGCTAAGCCTAGGAAAGATTGGCTGTCAGCTACTGCTTTGACTTTGTCTTTTGATTGAATAACAGGTTGTAATGCTGCTGCCTTTTCTTAAAAAGATATAGTGGAAGAAAAAGGACTGAACATGGAAACTGTAAAGCCTAATTTAACCCAATGTGTGAAGTTGTGGACGTATAGCAGGAGCAAATACAAGCACCAGATGTGTGTCTAATATAAATTAATATATTTAATATATTTTTCTTTTTCCCCCTTTAAATACCTATCATTTGATGTGCTTTGCAGCACTCTCTGTATTATGCTGGCGGATCTGTCTGGTTTTCAACTAGGTCCGCTAAATGACGTCATGGGGGCGGGTACTTTAATTTTCACTGCTACAGTCCCTCACCTCTACTCGTGTTCAAACCAAAAGATCGGCGCGTTTTTTTACATGGCAGGCTTTAACGTCCTTCAAACATGTTGAGATCGAGTTTATCGACTTGATGAGGGAATATGTCTTGACAATCCACACAGACGTTCAACAAGTAAAATCCTACATGACTTCACGCTTTAACAGGCAGTCAAGCAGGTCGCAAACCAGAAGCGCCGCGACACGGCGCGGACATGACAGTTTAAACTATCACACACCAAACGCGCACATTCGCATGATATTTAACATGATACTAATCAGATGCAGAGATGTATAAAGTACTAGAGACCCATACTTAAGTAAAAGTACAAGTGCTTTATCAAAAATTGACTTGAGTAGAAGTAGAAGTGCTCTTTAAGCACCATACTTAAGTGGAAGTACAAAAGTATTCAACATTTTTTGTACTTAAGTATTGCAAGTAGTTTATTTCAAAATTTACTACTCAAGTACTGAAAGTAAAAGTACAAGTATTGTGTAATGTACTTCAGAAAAAACAAAACAAAAAGCGCTCTGGGGTAAGTTCAAATGTATGGTCGGTGCTCTTTGGGTAAGGGATTCATCAAATCTGCAACAAGAATCAGTCCAAGGCACTCGAGTAAAGTGAAAAAATTAAAAAGCCTTTATTCACATGGCTAGTTTGCAACACAGGCATTAAGCCTCAGTTACCTCAGTTTGAAACAGTAGCCAAAAGGTACGTGAATTATAACAGCTCAAACTTTTCTGTAACCGTGCTGTGCGCTTTGTTTAACCCTTTGGGAGTTACGTGCTGACTGACAGGTGCGCGATGCGTGAGGCCAGGAAACACGACGAAGCTTTGAGTTAAGATGAACACAGTTTCTATATTTATACTTTATTTATATATAAAAGTATACGGCTCTGCATATAATCACTCTATCTTGCTGGAGTTTATAGCCGTTTCGCTTTACTTAAGGATGCATTAATGCCGCTCTGAAGGTCTAATCGCTGTTTTAAGTTATCCAGAGCTGTATGAATGTACAAATCTTGAATATCACAATAGTAATAAATATTACAATTGTAACAACACAGACAGCAACACTTTTGCAAAATCGATACCCAGCTGATTCAGTCATTTCATAAGAAGACCGTGCTTCTTCTCTTCTTTTTTCCTTGTCAACATAAAGGCAGTGAGGTGCGCCTTGTTTTCGACCCCTTGTTCAACTGCAAGGCACTTACGGGACGATAACGTATAACCCATGCCTACAGACACATTTGCCAAAGAAGCAAAATGGAAGAAGAATATTGCTGTTTAATACAGCTGTGTTGATGACAAACCAGCGCTGATGTTGACCTGGATCTGCATAATAAACACAACAAATAGGCTTTACTTTTTATTTTACAGCTTATAAAGCATGTATGCACATTAATGCAATATCATATTTAAACAACAAAACTGTTTAAAAAAAAAAAGTCAACATATGCGCGCGTTGTTGTCTTATCACGCAGCGCACGCACTTGAACCGCGAGAGAAAGAGGAAACCATATAGCAAGACATAATCTTTAAAATAATGATTTCTATTAAAAATGTAAAAAGGTTTTGTGATTTATAATAATAACAGCTGGGCATTAAATAAATGCATATTTTCCGTGGAGCGAGCAATTTAACGAAGTCAGCTATTTTTATTTGACGGAAAAAAAACATATGATTGGAAAAAAAAACAGCCTATGCCGGTTATGAAAAAGAATCAGTCAGTATTTTCATTTTGTAATATAAATTAATTATTTAAGTGAAAGTAATTTAGGGCAGTCCTATTTTTTTATTCATTTTATTTAGATTATTCTGCTCTTCTGTGCTACACTGCAGGTGCGTGAAGATGCTCTGTTGTTCTGTTAGTAATATGCTAGCATTTAAAAATAAATCAGTATTTTAAAATGCAATATTTAATGTGTCAGACGCAAAATAGACACGTCAATTTGTTTAATATAAAATTAATAGTAATCTGACCAGTTAACCGTTAATAACCGATTAATGAGTGGCAGTTGTCGGTTAGCAAAATTGACCTAAAATGAGCATCCCTAGTAGCCATTTAATTTACTTTTTCTATGTAAGAGAACTTGATTGAAAAATAATTTTTAACATGCTTGAACCATTTACACAATGGAGTTTAGTTCTGTTTGGTTTTTCAACAGTATTTTGTTACAAAGAAAACAGAAGTGATATAGCTTTGGCTATTTATTTATTTTATATATGGCTATTTATATTGTTAATAATTTGCATAGTTAATATTGTTCTTTGATGTTCAGTTTATAAAGATTTTTCAAATATATTTTCAAATGTTTTTCAAATATATACATATATATATATATATATATATATATATATATATATATATATATATATATATATATATACACACACACACACACACACACACACACACACACACACACACACACACACACACACACACATACACACACATACATATATATATATATATATATATATATAAATACACATATATACATACATGCATACAAACACAAAACAGTTCTGTCTAGTTGATCTTGATTTTTAAGCAAAAAAATTGTAATTCTCATTTTAACCAGAATCGTGCAACCCTACTTCCACCTGTTTAGTCATGTAGTGAACTTTTCAAATCTCAGGTACATGCAAATTTACAATAAAGGGGCATGCAACAAAAAGTTTCAAATAAATTAATGGAAATATTTAAATGAACTATTGCAATCCAGCTATTTTTTTTTTTTTTTTGTAATTTGACTATTTGATCCACATGTTTTAGATGGAGCGGCAATACTGGTTAGCTTGGTCACTCGGGCAGTACTTCACCATCATCACTTCCATAATCCTGTTCATAATGTTTCCTTTTCCCCTGATGGAAGGTTAGCTATCACACAGCACAAAATATCCTTGAAATATTATTATTGTTGGTATTACAGTTTTCTAGTTTTTTATTCTATTTTTCTTTTATTTTTCAAGGAAGTTTGTGGTAACAAAGGAGAATGTGGCTCTAATGTATCATGCACCGGGAAGAAACAAAGAATTTAATGCATTTGCATTAAACAAGACTTTTTATGGACCATTTGATGAAATGACTTGTATTGACTGGACAGACGATTCGAAGTAAGTAATAGATTTTTTTTTCTATTAGGTATGATTGCTTCATTCCTTTCAAAGTGCAGTTTTCAACTTTTTTTACGATAAAAGCTTGCTCTGGCAACAACATTGTCTACCTTCAATGCTCCGGCGGTGAGAGTATCAAAATTCGCTACATTAGCTGTGTTTCCACTATCGCGCCTAAAGCAAGCAAGCAAGCAAGCAAGCAAGCAAGCAAGCCAAGGCCAGTCGCATTTCCACTGTCACTTCCAGGGCTTTCTCGGGGCCAGGGGCCAGTGGCCGGCCTTTTTCGGCCCTCTGAATACCTTGGGCCTAAGAGGGCCAGCTGGGGCTTTGGGGCGGAGTGAAAGGAGAGGCGGACTTTGCCTGAGTCTGTTAAAGATGGCATGCCATCATTACACTAGTTTACCGATAGTACACGAGTACATGCGCCAAACAAATAGGTTAATAAAGGAAAGAAAATATATAGCTGGTCAGTGTAAGATATGCTATTTCATAAAACACGATCTAGGGGTCTTTTTGCTTATGATCACCCTTATATTTCCCTTTTAAATGTAAGGCTGTTGCATAAAATAATAAAGTTTTAATTTATAAGTGACTTTTTCTTTGCTGCTTCCTCTTTGATGTTTCAATTACAGGTAATAATCTTTACACAAAATTAAAGACAAAGCAGCCAGTAAAGGTTGTCGAGAGTTTTTGTCAAGTTGAAAAGGTGTGTTTGTGTGTGATACATGCACGTTAGATGCCTGTATGTGTGTGAGAGACCAGGCAAAAAAAAAAGCTTGCTTCACAGCTCTGTTGATGCTGCGAGCGGCTTCTTTCTTTATATATTTTGGAGATAATACTCAATTTGAATACAACAGAAAGACAAAAAACTTTACAAATTACATGTCCACTTTTGTAGGCTCAAAACAGTAGTGTCATATCTCGATAAAATAGCCTAAGCTATATTGAAATAATTTAAAGAATTACAAATATCGGATATAATAAAATCACATTAAATACATAAACCAATATAAAACAAACAAAAGCCATAACAATATAGGTATAAACAATGCATAAATTCAACCATTTTAAGACATATAATGTATAACTTTCATTTTACAAAGGCCTATCTAAAAAAAGATTTCAGATAATTTCTAAAAACAATAAACACCGAAGGAGGTTTAAAATATTATTCACAAAGTATTTGGATTCGATGATATTAATCAAATCATGCAAACAGCATTTTCGAGTGAATGAAAGCAGAAGCCTCTTTTTTTGTCATCCGGTCCTGCACAGCTCTGCTATACAAATGCATTGGGGAAAACTGCAAATACAAAATGTGTTTTATGTCCTCAAACAAGGACATTTATGTTTTATATATGACGTGGTAAAATGTAAAAATGAAATTTTAAATGTAGAGCTTTAGCTGCTGAGCGCAACGTAATATAAACTATATTTTATTACTTGCTCTTATATGTTAAATCCCTTAACACTTTACTTAAGATCACTGAATAATATGCAACATTCTTAAATAAAGGGGAATTACCTATTAAGTTTCATATAGCCTAGGGAAAAGTTAATGTTTTAGGTCTCTCTAGAGCATTTGGGCTGAATGTTTGACGACGTTCATCAAAACGAGGATGTTGTAAAATACATATCATACCGAGTTATTACTGGAGAATTTCTGTGGTTCAGTTTGTGGCGAGACCACTCGATGCACGATGACAACAGTCGTCGGCGATTAAATTAATAAAATAAATGAAAATACATAGGCCTGTACGTATAGACGTATAATGTGATGCTGTACAGTAACGTGTCATTTGTTTATTTCGGTTGTCTTAATTTTAATCGTTTTGTCATGATGCAATGGTGTGCTTTATCTGCCTGAATCCCACTGAAGTGAGCGGATTGTGTGATGTTTGATTCGGGGGACGTTCTTGGGGCGGGGTTTGCGCGGAAGCTACTAGCCCGACAGTGGAAACACGACATGGTTTCGGCCTCACTACTCAAGCCCTGGCTCGCACTAGCCCGACAGTGGAAATGCAGCTATTGATCTTGTATATAAATAAGCTGTTGCAGCATTTCAGCAAATCGCATAAAAACATGCTTTCTAGCCTGAAAATGTGGCTCACTTTTAATCAAATACATTTATCAATGAATGATCAAGTTGTTGCGTTTGGTTTTGGCTTTCACTTATCCAATATTTGTCTGTATGTCTGAAATTATTCTGAAGTTGTTATAGTTAGCATGAAATTCCTGTTTTTTTTTTTTTTTTAAGAAAAAAAAAATTACATTAATTAGGGGTGTCACGATTTCGATTTTAAATCGAAATCCATCAAAATTTATGCTCAATTTCGATTATTGAATCAAAAAAATAGAATTGTCAATGCTGCCACGCCCCCATGTCACGTCAGCTTGGCTTGCCAAGCGGGAAAAAAACAGGCTTGTTGAAGTGCTTGTTAAACTGCAGAAGCAGGAAACCCGTCGACAGAACTTAAACACTCTCCTCTTTCAATGAAGTCGCTGGTGTGTAAGCATTTTGGATTTCCTGTGAGTTATGTTGACAACGTTCGTGTTGTCGACAAAAAATACACAGTTTTGCAAGCTCTGCTATGTACGTATTACGTACGGTTCGTCCGATAGACAACACCGGCATTGCGATCCTCCGCCCGCCCCCGTTGCAAATCCGCTCGCAAAAAGTACACACTCAGGCCCTGTTTACACTGTCTTTGTTTTTAAATGGCATTTTAGAACGACAACAATTTGACATCCACAGTGGCGTGTAGCATTTCTGAGCAGCCCTCCTTCCTCTCTACCTCTTAAAATGCATATCACGTGACCTCACAGACACAGACGCACACACAGCCATATGAGCTCGAGACAGCAGGTCCAGGCAGTCAGAGGACTGCTTCAGTCTTTCACTCACTTGTACTTTGTCATTTTAGCGAACACCTCAGATACTGTTGGCTGGTTCCTGTTGGTTGTGCGTCTTTTTTACCTACGTCATTATAACAACACAGATCACTGCCTATTCATGAGTCCTGCAGAAAAAGTGATTGACAGGTGGTAATTATGTGTGTATCTTGCCTTTATTTATTTACTGTATGATTTGTTTATGGGTTAAACAAAGACCATGCAGGTCAGGTAGTTTAAACGGTAGGCTACAAATAATTAATCATTAATTAATTAATTATTAATAATCGAATCGTGCCTTTAGAATCGAAAATGTAATCGAATCGAGGATTTGGAGGATTTACAGTACAAAGTTTACAGTACTGTTTTCTCTGGAATCCTCTCAATCAGTGGACTTAAACTAACCAACTAACTTGCAGCTGGCTCCCAATTGACAATAAATGACTTCCGGCTACTTTGATGCTCTTGCCACTTTTGGTGTGAACACACAGTTAGAGCTTTAACTTTTTCCCACAGTGTCTTTAGCTTGTTTGAAAATTAACTATTTAATTATGTATTTTTACCATCATGCAACCAATTTCACTATTGCTTTCCTTCACTGAATAACAGGTGCTTTGCTGTTGGAAGTAAGGACATGACAACCTGGATCTTTGGGGCAGAAAGATGGGCAAATCTCATCTACTACTCACTTGGTGGTCATAAGGACATCATAGTGGGCTGTTTCTTTGAAAAAGACAGCTTGGATGTAAGTATGTAGAAAATGTCTGCTGCATTTGTGTAGCACATAAACAAGCCATTCAAAAACAACTTTCATCACTGTTTTATGTCAGTGTTTTTTTTAGCATTGTTGTATAGTAAATATTAAATTAATTTGGTTCTACTGTAGCTGCCATCATAAAAATTAATTAAATGAGTGCTGTGAAATGATGACTGTTCAGTTTGCTGAGGGGGCAAGGCGTCTACTTTGTGCTACCATATGACATCACTCCACATCATGTTGCTCAAATCGCTCCAAATTAACTAATTTGTGCTAATGTCTCAAATAATACATTTACAAAATATTTAAAAAAAATTTATATGTGCACAGCACAATTAAAATTTACAAAATTTAATTTGCAAGTTCAAAACTCAATTTGTAAATAGGTCAAAAATACACAAATCCAATTCATCAATTCAAATACGATTTATAAACACAAATCCAATCTGTAAATTTAAAACGTGATTAATAAATACACAAATACAGTTGGTAAATTTAAAACATGATTCATAAACACACATACAATTCAAATTCAAAACACGATTTAGAAATGCACAAATACAATTAATAAATTCAAAACAAGATTCATAAATACACAAATACAATTCATAAATTCAAAACACGATTCAAATACACAAATACAATTCATAAATACACATCCAATCCAAAAATTTAAAATATGATTCATAAATACACATTTAATTCTTTCTGCTAAATTTTTCATGTGAATTTACAAATTGGGTGTTATACTTAAGATATGCGTTTTGAATTTACAAATCGGATTTTGTAAATGTTAATTGTGCTGTGCATGTATGAATTTTATTTCTTAATAAGTGTACTATCTAATAAATGTAATTCTAATCTTATCTTAATCTTTATCTTAATAAATGTAATACTAATCTTAAATGTAATACTAATACTATCTTAGTGTACTATCTAATAAATGTAAATCTCACATGTATATCTGGCTCTATATAGTTTGAACAATGTGCAAGTTGAAAAATGTGCACAAAATTTAGTAGCAGCATTTTTAAGCAATAATATGCTAAGCACATGTGAATGCATAATCTGTGTATAATGCAGTCATGAAATTTTTACATTTGGTCTGCGAAGCGAAACATGAAAAATATATATGTAGTATACTACATTCTATAGTAACCAAAACCAAAAAAAAAAAAACCTGATATACTGTTTTCAAATCAAAATGGGAAAAAAAACCCAAAAAAAACTTAATTCAAATAATTAGTAAAACTATTTATTCTTTCGTTTGTTGAAAAAAATAGACTTTAGCTTTAATCAACTTTGCAGTTAAATTTTTCTACGTGTGGGCAGAAGAGACACTCATTTCTGCCGATTGGTTAACCAAATGGCCAGTAATTGTAACAAACATTTTTCTATATACAATTTTATATACCTATTATTTAATTTAAATAAATTGACTATTGAATAAAATTTGAAGAATAGAGAAGACCGTCGGCCTATTTCTTTATTAGAGGATTACTTTAACAATAATGTGCAAAATCTAAATTTGACAAAAAGAGTTATGGCAAAGCTTTTTAAATCCGAAATATTTCTGACATTATGCATTGTCATATATATTTGTAATCAATGCATCGAGAAAGTGAATGAATTCTTACCCCCTTAATAGTGATGTGTATCTCTTTGCTTCTTAATCCGGCTGCTGTTTACATATCATGTCTGTTCCTTATTTCAAATGTAAAAATGCAAGGCATATCAGCAGCATGCAAAACTTACACTGTACTATTTTCTATTTGGAATTTTCTATTAGCAGAGGTTGGACAATGAAACTGAAACACTTGGTTTTGAACCACAATATTTCATTAGTATGGTAAAGGGCCTCCTTTAGCGGCCAATACAGCATCAGTTTATCTTTAAAATGACAGATACATATCCTGCACAGTGGCCAGTAGGATTTTGAGCCATTCTTCCTGCAGAATAGTGGTCAGGATGTTATGTGATGCTGGTGGAGGATACACCTCCAAAACACCCCAAAGTGACATGTTTACTTTCATGTCATCAAATCAGTTTGTCACCAGTCTTGCTGTGTGTATTGGTGCATTCATCCTGATACACTGCACTGCCTTTAACATACAATGTTTAAAACACTGGGTGCAAATGGTACTTCAGAATGGTTCGGTAGTTCTTGGCAGAGACATGCTCATCTAGTGCAAGTATTGGCCCCAAGGAATGCCATAATATTGCACCTCAAACCATCACTTACCCACTCCCATAATTCACACTGGGTTTTTAATAGTCTGGGCTTCTCCACACTGTAACTCTCTTGGATGTGGGAAAGAGTAAGAAGGTTGACTCATCAGAGAAAAAAAAACATGTTTCACATTGTCCACAGCCCAAGATTTTCACTACTGTCACCAGCTGAAATAGAATTTTGGCATTGGTACGAGGGATCAAAGCTTTGGCTTAAAAAGCATAGCTATGTATATTGTGAAGCTCCTGACGAGCAGTCTTGGTGTAAACAATTGTGCACATTTTACTCTGCAGTGAGTTGGGCTGCTTTGCCTATCATTTGTTTTATGATTTTTGTATACAAACAACTTTGCGTTTCTCAAAACTATCGTTAGCCGACTAAGGTCACAAGTTCTGTCGTTACAAACATAGTTTGTTGATTTGCCATTTCCCAAATTCGTCGCTCTAAACATTTGCAAACTGCATCGCAAACTTGAGCACTCGCAACTACACTTCTGGAGCTGCAGTTAGAAACATAATTACTGGCTGAGTTTTGTTCCCACTTATCCCCCTTTGCATTGTTAATTTAGAACATTGTAACATTCAAAGTTAGAATTATTAAAAATAAAAAAGCATTAAGGTCATCTCTCTTATAAGTTTAATTTGCTTTTAAACTATTTTTACAGTTCAGTTTTAGAGATCTTCATGTTTATAATTGTGCTCCCTTCTCAATGCACTTTAAAACATTGATATAATTTTGAACACAGCCTCATGGCGAAAGTTATAGGTGACATTATTTTAAAACGGAATTTATCCCAAGCTTGTGAAAACAAAAAGCATATGTTTATTCTTTTAATTTATAGTGGGTCATTTATTAAGTATGTGTACTGGATATGACATGGGCCTGCTGGTTAGAACTTTCTGCAGTGGTTTACATGTCAAATTGTAAAAGTAGACTTTAAAAAAATAAATAAACAATATCCTACTTTAATAATAATAATAATAATCATCATTAATATTATTAATGTATGATTTTCATTTCTAATAAATATTAAATATTAAATTTCATTTAATAATAAATAGCCTTATTATTTATTTATATGATTTATATGATAAGAAGAATAAGTGTTAGCTTTTGTATATGATTTTATGTTTTAGAATAGAATATGTAATGTTCAACCTTCAATAATATTAGTAAAGCAAACATAGTCCCTATATGTGCCATTTACATATTTTCCAGTTAATAGGGAAAGCGAATGGATGTTTTTACCAAATCTAATATTGGATTTTATTTTAAATGCATGTTTTTTTTGTAAAACAACATAATTTTCACAAAGAAATAATGGGGTTCCTCTCTAAAGAAGTAGTTACTCCACCCCGTTTAGAGCAACATTGTGGGCGTTTAATGTTGTTTTAACGTGGTAACGTGCTTCAGGCGATGAATCTACGACAGAAAAACTACGCATTTTGGGAAACATTCGTCACTACATTGTTCTTTTTCCAAACGATGCATCGTACTATGATAGTTCAGCCACGAGTTACGTTGTTGTTTGGGGAAACAGCCCCCAGGTTAGCACACAAACATCCTTTTTCAGACAGATTCCTCTTGCATCCACAGTTACTCCTTTTGGATGTGGTTTGTCTATCTTGCTGGTATGCTGAACTGGTGGTATGCTGGCTCTTGATACATTACAAAGTCTTGCTGTCTTGGTCGCAGTTGCATCAGCGTGATGCGCACAAACAATTTGTCCTCTTTTGAACTCTGAATTGTCCCCCACGATGGTGTGTGCATTGCAACATCTTAAGCAAAACTTTGCTATTATTTTGTTAATTAAATCCTTACAACTCTGCTCTCACTGGTGGATTTTGTAATCAATGAAGCTTTGACTACTATGCTGGTCAAATTAATGCATGAAACCTCCACATTATGTTGGCCAGTGTTTCATTTTCATTGTCCAACCCCTACTTATATATTAGGGCAGGGCAATATTGCAAAAAATATATCACAATATCATGTTTCATATCATTTGATATTGATAATTATGAATATTTTAACAATATGTTTAGAAATATTAGGATTTTTACATTTTATTTAACCACTTTATTTAAATTTCTAAGCCAAATATTTTAATGGTCAAACTAAATATTAGTTGTAAACTAAAATGTCTTATCTTTATAATAAAATGAGCATAAGTGTTAAAGAGTCTCTTAAACTTGATAAATAAAATGTAACAAAGTGTAACATAGCAAAGCGTAACTACTGAGCAATCACAGTAAACTTTAAGGTGTGAATAATAATTATACAGTAAACCTCAAACCCTGTCAACACAAATGATGATAATTAAATCTGAGCTTTTCTAGTTAAGTAACCAGCCATCATTTTTCAAATACATACTGCAAAATTACAAATTGTGAAGTTGAATGACTACATTACCCCTATGCTAAAAAAATTCAAAAAAAGAATCCAAAATTTTGAATTTAGACTTGTGGAATTTGGACTGGTTGAATTATATGCCGTTTAGCCTCGTATTATTAAAATGTCAGCAAAATCACCTGTTTTGTCATCACTTTATACGTTACGCCAGAGAATCATTCAAATACTAACTCTAAAGTCATGTTGGTGAATTATTAACTGCTTCTGCTGTTCTGAAATCTGCTATATATATATATATATATAAAGGGTGGAGCCGAACCCGAATACGGTATTCGGAAAGGCACGAACGAATAGCGTGTTTTTACGGATACTTGATTCGAACAAATACTTAAAAAATTATTTGTAT